AAAAAAAGAGAAAAAAAAAAAAAAAAAAAAAATGCAAGTTGGCATTTTTATTCAGTGTACATCTCTGCAGGTTACTTCTCAGTTCTATTCATTTAGAACTGGAATACAGAGAATCATAACCAACTACTGTTGATACTAGAGGTGCACTGATACATGGTCTGATATCACATTGGCACCAATATAAAGAAAACTGACTGTAGTGGAAATCAGTCTGACGTGGCTGCTAAATGGCCTGTGTGTGCACAGCTGCAGTGCAGCACATAGGCGGTGACGAGTACAGTCTGGGTGCATGGAGAGTTGTAAGTCTGTTGTGGTGGATGGGCAGGGAAGAGGTGTGGGGGGCAGATCAAGGCCCCCGTGTTAAGGGAGGGAGTGGGGCTGGACTGGGGCAGGCGGTGCCCAGCTGAAGTGGGATGGAGCTGCAGCTCATCTGGGGTAGATGCAGTTCCCACTGCTGCATGCACCCCAGGAGGGCATGGGGGGCATGCCCCCTCTACCCCGGATCTGTGCGTGGGGCAAGGCCACTATGGACTGGGGCCGGGCCTGCACCCGGCTCTTCCCACAGGGGTGGAGAAGGGCCAGGTGGAGAAGGCAACACTGGAAGAGGGTGTTGGCGGGGGCTATGGTAAATTTGGGGGGGATGCAGCCCCTCCCAGCACCGCCACTGCCTGCCCCAAGCGCAGCCTGGCACAGCCCCCACTGGGAAGAGCCTGGTGCAGCCCCGGCCCCAGCCCGCAGTGGCAGCCCACCATGCCCTGCACACATCTGGGGGCACATGCCCCTGCCCCCCAGGGTGTGCACAGTAGTGTGAGCTGCACCCCTCCCTGTGCCCCTGAACAGGTGGAGGCTCCATCCCATGCCCTGCCCCTCCCTGGCTGGGCAGCGCCTGTCCCACTCCCTCCCTCACTACAGGGACCTTGATCTGCTCCCCCACACCCCTTCCACCACAACAACTTACCAGTTGGACACTGCTCTTCAAGCTACTGGGCTGCATATCAGAAATCAGACTGGTATTGGCCGATATGCCTCCTTAAAAATCAGCTATCAGTATTGGCTCCAAAAGTCTCTGTGTGCACACCCCTAGTTGATACAATCAATGTTAAATTCCTTACCAAGAAATTGCACCTGAGTTGAGAGTAAATTTTTAGAACTATATGATCAAGTGGCAAGTAATTCGACTTCTGAATTTCTTATTTTGATATACCATCTCCCTCTCTCTCTCTCCAATGCTAGCAAGCATGTCAATAGACTTTTTTTAAAAATGGGAGAAATTAACATCTCATTTAATTAAGCTACATTTGAGAACCAAGAGTAGGCACAATGAAAAAAATGTAAACAGAAAACCAAGTTAAGTGAGAATGGTCAGTGTTTGAAACAGCCACAGATCTCTGATGGTAAGCAGAAGCAAAGCCATGAAAATTCAACTGTTTGAAACAAAAGAAAACAAATATTTCTCTTATTTTCACCACTGTTCATTACTTCCATGCCTCCTTAAAAAGGAACGCTGAAAATCTGCCTATATTGAAAATTTAATTGAAGGACCTAATGTTTAAAGGAACAAAGACCACATTGCTTTAGGCTCTTATGCAAGATGGAATACAAACAAACGTATCTAGCGCACATGTGAGGTTAACATGTTTAAAAGAACTGCAAGCATTTGATAGAACTGAGTAATAGTTTTATGAAGCTCCGGATGGAGAAGACATTAGGACATTGAGGGATAATTCCCAGTAGTACATAAAGTACTTTGCTTTACTTCATTTTTAACCTCAGATGTCAGATAAGGTGAATAGAGAAAGTTATTGATTCAAAGCACTGATGTTCCCAGCCAATTTGTAGTCAAAAATGATTTCATCTATATAACAGAATTTATTTTAAGCTTTGGCTCCCTACTTAATTGCAAACTTCACTGTGTGGGTCAACAAGCAAGGAACATACATACACCAGGGACAAAATATATCATCCTTTAAACATGCTCAGCTCTCACCAGCTCAAACCAGAATTAGAAGATGGATAGGTGAAAATACTCCTCCACTAAAAACTTCAACAACTCTTAGGAACCCCTCTATATTTTTGTTGAAATACGAGTCACAGTTTACATACTGCAGTCTTATTAGTTATAATGAGACAACGTTGCTATATACACTTAGGATATGTCTTTACAAAACAATTAACTCAGACTCAGTGTTGCCTTTAACCTCCTCCCTTCTCCTGCCCATACACAAAACTATCTCATATAAAATTTAATGGCACTTTCAATCCACTCTGAGTGCACAGGCTAGAACCTGGGTGCTGCTTCTTCCTGAACTGGTAAACTTGTCCACTTTACAGTGAGAGTACAGACTAAATGAAGGGTCAGCAACATACGGTCTGCATCCCAGATCTAGCTAGAGGAACCACTAAATCTGGCTTTGTCTGTGGCCATAGTGAGGCTAGGCAGCTCCCAGGTGCACTGCACCATTACTGCTTCTCCCTGCTCTCCCAGCTTCAGTCAAACACGAGCCAGGTGCGACAGTATTGCCAGGGCCAGGCAGCTGGAAGCTGCACCAGGGCTGGGCATCTTCAAACTGCACCTGTGCTGCTGCCAAGAGAAGTGTGGGGAGGCAGGGTGCAACAGTGCAATGCAGTTCCCAGATACTGGGTCCCCACGCAGCTTCCCACTGGCAGGAAGCTGTGCCTGCACCACAGCCAGGAAGCAGAGAGAAGTACTGGTGATACAGGGGCAGCTCCCAACTGTCTGGCTCCAGCGTGAGTGTGGGGAAAGACCCCCACAGCTTACATGTTGTGGAATCCACCCAGCCTATGCTGGACCAGAGCTGGGTTGTGCCACCCTATAGTCTGTAAAAGGTTGCTGGGCCCTGGATTAAGTTACTTGAGTGCAGACTGACAGTACTCTGATGCCATCCCACACTTTTTTGTCCCACTCTCCACCTCCGAGCACAAAAGGACAGTCAAGCTTCCCCAAAATTCACTAGGAAAAGTCAGAGAGACTCCGTTTGCTGCAGTACAACATCCATGCCCACCAATTGTATTCCAAAAGCCCTAGCAACACAAAGAAGTGGCCACAGCAATGAGGACAAAGTAACTGGGAGATGGCTTTGCCTCATGGATAAGTGCTAATAATCGCCCAAGCAAACTCTGCAGTGAAGACATTTCCATAGAGACCAGTCAGATGTTTCGCTCTGCATCATTACTTCCAAGAGATTTTTTTTGAAAGGATGCAAGGCCAAGAAACAATTTTTTACCTGGAGATTGTTGAAATCCACTGTCATGACTTGAAAGGGTTCTGTCAGAGGCATGTAACCCCCAGGAATTCTACTGAGTTTTTCTGTGGTGTAAGGTTCAAGAGTCTCCTCTGAGTTTACCGAAGCATGTGTTGGACTACAGAACTCCACTGTGTCTGCCAAACGCACACTGGCAACTTCTTGTATTCCCACTCTAGGGGAGGCAAGAGATGGGGGGAAGAAAAACCACACAAACATACCTAAATTTGACAAAATCAGAACCTATTCACAGTCCTTTCTTTTACCTGTCAAAGCATTTCATGCACAATACAATAATTAAGTGTGCACTGATTGTATTCGTTCCTGTCATATTAAAAAAAATCTAGAACGTACATCTCTTTGGGGAGTTAAGAAAACAAAAAAGTTAATGGTTAGTTAAGGAGTACGATGTCCAAAGGCTCCAACACCCTCAAATATTGTTCACTGGGACTCATACTTTCTGTTCACAAGCAGCTGGGCAAAAGAAATGTGTGCATTAAAAGAATAGAAACATGTTTTTTCCCTCCTTATCTGCTTTGGGAGAAGGATGATGGCACATTTTAGAATAGACTAACAAATCTGTTGTAATAATTCAGGGAGATGCACAGAAGAGAAAATGCATGCCGAATAGATGCTTCATAGCATTTTCAAGATGATGATGATGTAAAGCAGTCCAGAAAAAAGCAATTTTTCCCAAATAAAATTGGCAATCAAGATGAGAAAGTTTGTTTTTAGGGTAGAATAGGCCTCCCCTATTCAGAACAGTTTCCCTTCACAAAAAACATGGAATAGTCCTGTTATCTTGTAGGAAATGGACTTAATAAGGGTGGCTTTAAAGAAAAGATGATGACGTCTTTAATGCATTTCATTTTTATGCTTTTAAGTTTAAGGATTCTGAGCCATAGTCTATATTCCGAATTTCAAGAATTACAAGAAATAAGAAATTTATATTAGGCAAAAGAAGGTCTTACATAAGCTGCAGCTCTCGATTATTCTGAGAAAAATGTATGCTCGTACAGAATTCATTTCTTCCAATTTAAGGCACAGCTAACATGACAGACTGCATACATATTACTCAGAGGTTCAAGTGACAGCCCATCTAAATTCCTAGAACTGTTCTTAAATTCCTAAAAAGGTTTTAGAATTACAAGAGCCCTCATAAAAGCTAACTTTCAGTAGTCAGGTCATATGGTATATCACTTCAGATACAGTTCTCTCCTGATCTGTGAAGTTTCTGATGGCAGAAATAAAGGAATTATCTTTTGTTATAGCATCAATTTTTTAAACAGCAACTGTATCTTGATGAAGAAAAACAGCAAAACAAATCAACCTATGTCTTTGTGGCAGTCTGCTGGCAATATTTAAAAATATGCTGCAATATGTTTATTGCATAATGTACGTGATATTTTTAAAATGCATTCTAACGGTTGCATGCAATCAATATTTAACAGATACCAAAATGTTCCCTATAATGGGGCCTATAAACAGCCTTTGCTCCCATAATCTGTATCAAAATATTTTTAAACATGCTCACCTCAAATATTTTTAGTAAATATAATTAAGAATTGGTATACATTTATAGGAGCTATGGCATATTTGGAGATACACAGAGCAATGACATATTTTCCTTCCTGTTAACTTCATAAATGAAGATGAGATAGCTTTCTAGAAGATACGTTGTAGCTCAAAACAAGTTATTAGCTTGATGCAGAAGTTAATGGGGGAGGCTCTTTGGAATGCACTGTGGAAGAAGTCAGGCTATATAACTGCAATTATCCCTTCCATCTTTACTGAATCACTACGTAAGTGCCGTATTAAAGCATCTGTCCCTAAGCCTGAAGGTCTGAAAATCAGGCCTAGAAGTCCAAAACTTAAAATTCTACAGTGAATTCAGTTTGATAAAATGCCTAGTTACAGTTCAACAAGGCCCTGATAGATGTTATTTTATACAAGTTAAGAACCTAAGAATTGCCATTTACTGGGTCAGACCGTAGGTCCATCTTGCCCAGTATCCTGTGTTACACAATGGCAGAGAATGGATGCTGAAAGGCAGAGTGAACTGGGTATCACCAGGGTTTTTTCCACTGTCCCATCTCTCACCTGCAACTGCCATGCATTTAAAGTCTAGGAAATTAATTCAATGGCTGTACCCCTAACTCTCATGCTCAACAGCTACTGATGCTCCTTTCCTCCAAGAATTTATCCAATCCCTTTTTCAAATCTGGCTAAAGTGTCAGCTTCCACAACATCTTCTGGCAGAGTTCCACACTTTAAATTACATATGGTGTGAAAAAGAATTTATTTTTGTTAGTTTTTAAAACATTACTTTTGCAGTTTCACTCTGTGACCCCTAGTACTTACATAGCAAGACACAATAAATAAATCCTTATTTCCATCAAAGAACAGGTCATGTTCATAGGGCAAGATGTACCTAGATGGTAAAAAGTGCCCTGGGAACTTGTTATGCCAACAACTGCTAGCAAGAGGAGCTGGAGAGCTGATGGCAGGGGCTGTCAGCCCCTCTGGGTGAAGAAACTGCTCCCCTAACCCTTATAGCGAGTAAAGAAGACCCATTAGAACAATTGGGGGCAAGAGAAACAGGACTCAAACACATGCTTGTGTTTTTCTGCTCTCCCTATTCTGCCTTCACCTTTAGCTTTCCAAATAAATTCCCTTCCTCTCTCTCATGCTGATTATCTGTTTACACTTTGCTTCTTACAGGGAATAAGTGCTAATGTCTCCTAAAGGCACAGCTTTGAAAGCAGGCTGGGGAAAGGGAGGACAGTCAGTGAGTCTTGACATTTCCTGCTAGGGCACCCTGGGGCAGCATTGTTCAACATGAGTTAAAGAGGACAGGAAGGAGGGCAATCAACCCAGGAAGCTGGAAGACCCAGTCAAACACAATCACCATGTGTATTACTTGCCACATATTCAAATTAAAGTCTGATAGATGCCATCCACAAAAATGTTCTACATTTTTCAAGTAACATCATGGTAGCTGGTTCGCCATTTTTATTGTGCAATAATTAATTTACATGTATAGTATGTAAGTTCAGTGTGCAATTAACTGGTTAATTGCACAATAAGTATAAGGTGTCGGGGGCCCAAGTGTAGCAATTTGTGCCACTGACCTGTAAAATATTTACTTTCATGAGGCATGTTATACCAAACAAGGAAAGCTGTTTAACTTATAAATGCAACAGGATGTGCAGCATAAGCCTGTACCTTACAAGTTTTGGGGAACTCTTGTTCTTTTATATTGAGCCTTTCCTTTAAGCCTTTCTCACATGATAGTTCATTACTTTGTTCTTCTAACAGAGAATATAGACAGTTTTCAGACCTGCTTTTAAGGGAATACGCTGTAGCAAATATTTCAGATAAAGTGAAAAAGGCATGTAAAAATGCAACAAAAATATGGACAATAAAAATGCTACTATGGCAGAAGAATAGAGGATTGCAAACTATACAGCTATTTTTTTTTAAAAGGTGTTTATATTTGGAAACTGTGGTCCAGCAAGCCCAATCTGAGTATCAGGTTGACAGCATAAAAGTAGTAATTCAAAATAACTAAATAAAGGGGTAAAACCCCCCGAAACCAAAACCTGCCTCTCTAACGTACGCCATCAAAGTAGTGATTATAGGTGATATCAATTATCTGACCTCCATTAACAAAATCCTTCACAAGAAATTAAGAAAACTAAGCAGTTATGGGAGGAAAGATAAGAATTCTGTAACAGGTTAAATCAGCTAAAAGGCCAAGACAGAAAGAAAGATAGAAAGACAAAGAATAAGCTTTCTATGTGACAAATGGTTTTGCAGTAGGATCAGGGGGTTTTTTGGTTTTTGGTATGTGAAAAAGAACGTAAACTATAAGCTTGAAAAATGTGCAGATTAATTTTGATAACTATGGGTCATCAAGACTATAAAGGGACTTCAAAAGAGAGCAAGGTGAACAGGATAAAATTCAGTCCTGATAAACAGTAGGTAAGACATCTCAGATTAAAATAAGTTTGAGCTATTATACAATGATTGGTCTTTAAAATCATTGTAAACAGCTAGGCAAAGGAAAGCACAACAAAAAATTGCTTAGCATTGCTGCATATTTAGCAAAACAAAATGTTTAAAAGAATATAAAGCTTAGAACACTGCATTCAGTTCCAGTTATCTTGCTCAGAAATATATACAGCCAAGATGGAATCAAAGATTATGGAAATGACAACAGACATGGAAAATTCAGCATGAGGGGAGAACTGAAAAAGTAGTATTCCTTAGAAAACAGACATTAGAGAGTTAAACAAAATGAGGAAAGTCAGAGAAGCCAAGTAAGATTTTCTTTTTAAGATCAAAGGGATATTCAGTGAATATTCTGTGAAATTGTAAGGAATCAAATTAAAAAGCACTGAACATTTCTTCTTATACTACATTATTAACCTAGAGATCATTGAGGTCGAGCTCTCAGCAGGGTTATAAAAAAGTTAGCCAAATACATTTCCAAGAGATCATCCAAAATTATATTATCCTACCTAGATTTTGTAAGGTTTAGAAACCTTGCTTTAAGGTATGAGTGATTAACAGACTAAGGGGAAACATCTTTTCAAGGCAAGCTTTTCCATAAATATCTGTTACTAAAACTTCTCTCTAGTAAAGTACTGAGCAATGTCAGGGACCTCTAGCATTAGAAAGACCACAGAACTGATCTGACAGGTCTGCAAGATATTCCTTAATAATATCCAAGGTGCTATAAATTTAGTTTAATGCAAGGATAACAAAATTCAAAAAGGTGAAATCATTTGAGAAAGGAATTATGTTTGGGATCAAACTGTGTACAATTTGGGGATGAGGATGCTGAGAAGATGTATTAACATGCAGATTATAGCAAATCCCCATCTTCATTCTCTGGAAGTGCTCTCTGCTGTGAGGTGTGAAGCTAATTGAAAAGGTAAAATGAGGGCAAATACCACACATTAATGCAAGAGTCTCATAATTAATCCAGAAACAGAGAGGTATTACTTCCATTCAAGTGTGGATTCAGAGGGAAATGCACTAGTGCAGTAGCATCCCCTTTTGATTCCTGATCTACCCAGAGTTTACAACCATCTGCCTAGCAGTGACAGCACCATTTGTATTCAGGTAGTAGTGAGGAAGTCAACTGGCTAATTATAATCTACCTGATTCCTGCTAAACTCTTCATTCCACAGGTGTTAATGACCCTGTCTCATTTAATGGTATTGATGCTCCACTAATCAAGCTATCCCTTTTTTCTGTAATTCTGCTGTCTGTTTGCTGCTTCTGGTAAAGTAGCTTCTATTTCACAGCCCTGCAGATTGTTTTCAACTCATTTCAATAAATATACTTTTTGCTTTAACCTTACACTGAATAATACAGTCCTAGGCCCCTAGCATATTAGTGAAATCTCTAGTTTAATTTTTAACTGTAGAAAAAATGTGCTTTATATGTGGTCATGCACCTCACCATCTACAGCCCCCTTTTCACAATTCTAGATCTACTTATGCTTCCATTATGCTGCAAAAGGCATGCACTTCATTGCAAGTGATTAGCAAAAAAGTTTAATGCATCTCTGATCTATGGATGCTTTAGTATAGTCTTATTTTAGAGGACTGACCTCTAGAGGGCAGAATGCATGAACAAAATGAATTGAATGCATTAAATGCATGAACAAAGGTAGAAAAGCACTGTGAATATTTAAAAGCACACTCGCATTTTGAACACTTTCCAAATGTCTTATGCCATGTTCTTTATGGATGAAAAATAGTATAATATAAGGCCATAATAAATTTCTGTGTCCTGACATTATTAATTCCTCAGTATTTTCAGATTTAAATAAAAAGACTGTCTCATTAGAGACTCCATTCCAGAATATGTGGACGGAATGCCTAGCATGAATTTCTTCCGGTGAAAAGTCTAACATACAGGAAAACATACATCCAAGTTGCAGTCCCTAAATTAATATCTAGCCATTCTGAGTTTACTTCTAGAAGCTAATCGGTAGCAGCTAAGTCATTAAAATACAAGCAAATTCTGTTCATACTTTACACAGTGCTTGCCTCTCTTAACTATAAGCTGAAACAGTTAAGAGAATAGAAGGGAGGAGGGAAGAGCCCTCTCCCCTTGTTTTTTTTTTTTTACATCAACCTCATTTTAAAAATCTCAAAGATTATACTCTGATAGGTTTGAGTTTAACATACCTGTGGTGTCTGCGTATTTCTTTGCATTCCACTGCCATCCCAAATACAGTAGCACCCGCAGGAATAACTTGGCCGTAGTTTTCAAAACGAACATCATTATGTTTGGGCTGTGAAAATGTAAATAAAATTATTGCCTCACTGTACAGTAATATATTTCTTTCCAATTGTAGTGCTGAACCCAAATGTGGCATTCCTGTGTGTAATTCATTCTGATAGTTTAGGGATAAAAGTACTTTCAATAGCTAATGTTTTCTTGTGTTTATAATTCCAGTTAGTAGGGCTGATGCACTTCCAAAATGAAAGATCTACCTTCCTTCCTTTAAAAATATCCAACTGTGCACCACATTATTAAGGGAGGAAAACTTCTAGTATTATTGTTCTTTTCCTAAATTTTTATTTCCTCCACAGTACTCCAAAAGCCCCTCTGATCCTAGGGCATCAAGTGCTGCATTTCTCTATTTTTTTCCTGGAAATTAATGAGTACCCTCACTTGGAAGTGCCATGCATGTTCTCTAAATCTCAACCAAGAAAATATCCCATTTTCAGGTTTAGCCTTAATTATTAAATACTTTTGCCACAAAATGAATTATCAATGAATGATGGAACAGGTCATACTGCCCAATATTGTTCACCTATTTTTATTATTCATACTTCCCAGTATTTATTTGGATAGCTTCACTTTTTTTTTTGTTTTACCACTTATCTTTCAAAACTAGTGTTCTTTTTGTACTTATTTCATGTCTCTCTTTAAATGCGTCTCCACATTTACCCTGTCGATACATTTTAGGTCATCTGCTTATAGTTAGTTAGTATCATCTTTGCTCTCCTCAGTGCAATCTTTTCATTATATTGCAGCATAAATAAGCTAATGATCAATACACAAACTCCATGAATCGGGGACATGGCAGAAATAGAAGGAATCCAGAAAAAATGCAAACCAAGTGGTTATGTTTTAGTACATCTAAAACTAGCCTCTCACACACTTGAAACTGTTGTTTAAACATAAACTTTATCTACATCTTCCTCTTCATTACTATGTCTTGTTATTTTATACTCTGTATTTTATCTCATCTCAGAAGGATACATGCAAGTTCACCACACAAAATGAGTAGATCCTCAATTATTCTTATTTTAAACTGTAGAAGCCAGTTTCGGCCCAGCATAGTAGAAAAACCTGGATAAGTGTTTAAATGGGATCTTTTCTTTTTGCTTCAAATGGGAAAATGAAAGAAGAATCAGACCACCAGAAATAAGAATTTTCAGAGCCTTAAACTTATTTCATAAAAAGAAAAATGTTTGTCAGCAACTAGCATTACAAAGCTAGGAATTGTAAGTGGGAAGTTACATTAATGTAGTGGAAAGGCAAGGTAAATGTATAAATATTGCAAAAGTTGCTTTTTAGCTTTTCAAGTAAGGGAGGGCATACTAAATTGTAACATTTGTTCTCTGGTGCCATAAACAGAACTACCTGCATTGTAGTTTTACTGTTTCTATTAATTACATATGATGTGATTTTGCTCTCAGTTACACTATTTAGCCCTTCCCTTCTAAGTTACACTTTCAAACCCAGCCTAGTTGAGTACTGACTTCCTGGCAGCTGTTTAGTGTCTTAACATTAAATGAATGTATTTCATTTTAGTGGACAGGTGTTCACAACACAAATGTCACCACCATTTGCCCAGCAGAGGTGCTGCTAAAGGCCAAGTAGTGAATAGCCATAAAAACTAATCCCCCAAATTTCTCCAGGAAAATTAGCCTTGAGAAAGTTTAAAAGGAATACATGATTAACAAGGTCTTGTCTGTGCCTGCCTATTCTGAACTTCATTCTACTAGGCCAGGGGTTGGCAACCTACACCCTGTGGGCTGGATCCAGTCCATGGATATGGGGGTTTGGCAGCTGGCTCCCTCCCAATGCTGCCACAGAAAGAAGTGGTAGTAGCAACTGGGTCCTAACATCTACCTGCTTCTGACCCAAACAAGGTCAGTCCAGCCTGCAGCCTTAAAAGGTTGTCAACTGCTGTACTAAAACAAGTCTCATGTTCTTCATCAGGATTAAACTGGTTAAAATTAAAAAATATATATATAAAACGTTACTTGTTTAAATATTCTGCTTTTCCCAATGCTTATGATAAAGATGTCTTGTATACGGTCATAAATAGGAATGTCATTTAGATATATATACATATCACCTACCTTTGGCTGTAAAAGCAAATGCTCCCAAGCATGTATCAAACTCTCCACAATCCCTTCTCCAAATAATCCAGCATCTACAGTCTCTGTGACAACTAGGGAAACTCTATGAAAATTGGTATTAAGAGAAGTGAAATATAGTTATGTATAATTCATTTTGCTATGTCATCCCCTCTTTTAAGAGAAAAACTAAAATATTTGTCCATGGTACAACTTCAGTCAACAGTCATTGTTGACTGAGGTAACACAGAATGAATGGAAAACAAGCATACAGCAGACGAACATATTTTAAGTTACTGCTGTAAGTTATTCAAGCCATAGAAGGGTTTTTAGATACTGAGCAAGTTCACTATAAATCCCAGTCAATATATAGTGCAGACGGTACAGTGATAACCTTTAATAGATTTTTTGACTACTTAAATCTTATGCTCCCCAGAAGCATCCCATCTGAAAGTAAGAAAAGGGCTCTTAATTAAATGTACCAAAAACTAAAATACTGAATCAAAATAATTTGCCTTCAGGGATGCTGAGTTAGCTTACTTGCTCAATCAACAGATTTTTTTAAAAATGCATTACATACTCATTTGGTTATAGCTATATTATTAGCCAATCCACATCCACTTTGCTAAGTCTACTGGTAAACAAGATAAATAGAACAAACATGTCAAAAACAGATGCCTTGTTGGAGGAAAAAAGATTTTTTTTTAACTGTACAAGCAAACTTTAAGTCTGGAAAAAAACATGATTAAGTTAGCTATACTACAAATCTCAAACTAAAAAAAAGTGCTGATGACCTCTCTTGAAAACTGCCCGAAACATGTGAATTTACTGTAGGTGAAATCATCATTTCTACAACTAGTTTGAGGTACTTTGCAACAGAATAGTGTAGGACAGAACAGAAAGTTAAGTTTTAGTAATATTTCCAAGCCAACTCTCTCTGAATGGTGAAGTTAAAACATCCTGTGGATGGCTATCTACAAGAAATGTAAAATAATGTAAAACAATTTATTGAACCTCTATGCCACAAAGTACAAAATATATGTCTTCTGGATTTTTGGTTGTAGCTGTGTTGGTCTAAGGACACATGCAGGCAAGTTTTTTTGGGCAGATGTGATATCTTTTATTAGACCAATTGAGTAGTTGGAAAAAAGTTCTTAACAAGCTTTCAGGTGCAGTCACCGTTTGTCAGACATAGAAAGTCTCTGCTGGTCTGAGACTCCAAGGAATGAGAGAAGCTAAAAGTGTATTAGGATGTCAGTGAATATATAAACAGGTAAAGATAAGCAAGACAAAAGGAAAAGCAGGGAAGGGAGGGGGAAAGAGAACAGGGGGGAAAAAAAAAAGTCAGAGGGAGACAGAGATAAAATATAAGGTGAGAAAGAGGTAGTCTATGAAAAAGGTAATGGAGATCAGGAAAGCAAGAATGGGAGAAATTAGAAGTGTGACAGGATGTCAGTGAAAATATAAAAGGGTAAGAGTACAAAAACAAAAAACAGTAAAGCAGGGGAGGGCGGGGGAAGAGAACAGGGGACAAAAAAGACCAAAGGGAAAACACTACAGAGGTAATAATACAATGTAAAAAAGAAGCTAGCAATAGAAAGGAAATGGAAGGGAACTAGGAAGAAAAAGGGAAGAGAAGTGGAGAAGGAGAGGAGAGAAGAGGAAAGGTGAGGTGGGGGAAAGGAATGTAAGAGGTCAGGTCAGGCAGGTATCATGTGAATCAGATGTCAGGCAGGTTGTAATGTGTCATAAATCCAATGTCTATATTAAGTCCATGACACTATATGTCTAGCATTGTTGCTAGAGTGGATGCAGAGAGTTCACTTGACTTGCTAGTCCCAGCATGTGTAAGAGCTGCTGCCAAAAAAGAACAGAAAAGACAGACAACAGCATCTGAGAACCCCAGACCAAATTTCTAGAAATGTTTTCCCTTTTCCCCGTTTTTTCAGACTTGTCTTTGTCAAATAAAGTTTATTTCTAATTAACAGCATTATCCAATAAATTGTTATGAGTGAAAGAGGGTTACTTTAAATGATCTGAAAAATATTATTAGCTATATAGTTAAAATACTATGACAGAGAAATAATTAATTTGATGGGTACTATCTTAACAAAATTATTTTTTAGCCTGCATTTATTACACTGTACACTTCCCCTCCCCACCCCCCTTTTTTAAAAACTTAAATTAAAAATCATCAGAATAAAATGTTTAAGTTACCTTTCAGGTATATGCTTTGGAATTTCTACATCAAGTGACTTCATATGCATAAGTTTAATCTCTCCTTCCATATTATTTGCTGCTATGACATCAGAAGCAAGTTCATACATAGTTTTTGATAACTCACAAGCATAAACATGAAGAGCTCCAGCCTTTTTGGCAAACATGCTGAAAAGTGACAAATCATCCAAGACATCAATTCATTCTTGTTATTATTATTTTAGTTTAAATTAAATCACTCTAAAATATCTACATTTCTTAAAGTATCTTTTCATCTTGTTCATATTTTTATGAAATACAATAGAAATCCGGATATCAGCTCTAATTCGAATCATATCAGGCGTTTTCCCTAATACACAATGTATTACCTGCAGTAAAGTTTCTCTAAACCTATTGTAATATAATATATTACCATAAGAATATTGTGTAATGGCAGAGTCATTCCCTACTATATTTTAGCTTAGACACAAAGACTGCAGGGTAGCATGCTAATAACACGCTCTAGTTACTTAGAGCTTATAACTTGATCTAGTTACTTAGCTAATTAACTCTCTAAGTAACTAGAGCTGTTTTGCCCTGTATAAATGTGTACTTAAGCAGCAGTGACCTTATTGTTCAAAACAGCACCAATTCACTAGCTTGCATTGCAGTTCTTACCACTGAAAGCATTATGGCTTTAGAGCAGCATGAGACGACCAAATGTACTGCCAATGACTCATTCCAAGTATCTTATTCCACAATACAAATGACTCTTACTGGTGTCTATACACCTTAAGCTTTGCTTTAATTTTACATGGAAGTCAATTTTTTACTTTTGCAATGACTAAATTTAAAATAAGTTAAACTAATTAAATATTAGCAAAAAAAACAACAGTTCTCAGTGTAAGATTTACACTTATTAAATGTTGATTTGTGCCAAACCTCAGTATTCCTGTTCCTGCTCCTATATCTAGAACAGATCTGCATCCAGAGTGGACCATCTTCTCTATAGCTTTCTGGTAAGTCAGATTCCTCTTGATATCATTCAGCATGATGAAGTGCCAACGTTCAACCAGCCAGTTTGCAACACGGTAAAAATTTTCCTTTGCATCAGCAAAGTTAGGATTTAGCTTCACTGCTTTATGAAAATATCCAGCTGCTTCATCTCTAAAGCCCATTCTAGCAGTAAAAATGACAAATAAATAGGGATCATGTATCATGCTGCTAAATATCTACACCTCAAAAATGTTAGGAAAATGTCATATTTCACCATTACTGAACAATTCAATTATGAGTGATTATTTTGACATCATTGTATTCACAATTTGGAAACCACTTCATTTTGCTTAAACTGCTTTGGCTTCAAAAGACTGAGAAATGGATACAAGCATGCTTTATTCTGATGCTCACAACTTTTCAGGCAAAGGTTCCAAAGCAAGCTCCTATCTTTAGAGGTTTGAAAGTAAGTGCTTTCTTTCACTGCAAGACATTTCCAAACAGAAATCCCTTTATTAAGGGATCTCTATACAAACACTCTTTTCAACAGAAAGCCAAGTTACTGGCTTGCTAAAATTGAGTGATAAATCGCTATTCCAAAGTCCCCGGTTTTCTACATGCTAAACAATGAAGTTAAATTTCCAAACCAAAATAAAAACTCCTCAAAGAAAATATGATTAGCTTACTAAGAGAGAGATATGGTTCTATGACTGGTTTTTAAAATAAAAGAATACACAATACACATTCAGTATATGTTATATTACATACATACGCCGCTATTGTTCACTGATTCTAGTAGATTATTTCATGCTTGGCTTTGGCACTGTAAAGCAACTGCTAGAACTAGCTATTATAAGTATTAATGGAACTGAGATTCAGTATTACCTACTTAACGCTGTAAATGGGCTCAGTAAAATGCTGAAGGGACACACTGGACTGGTTTCTAATGTTCATTGTTAAATGATATTAAACAGCACACCATGAAATAAAATAAAATGACTGAATACAGATTTCTACTAACCTGAAGAGATGTTCCCCCATGCTGTTACATATTACTTCATCATTAGGAAACAATTCTAGGGCCTGCTCATAGCAGTTAAACAGGTCTTGAATTCTTGCAAGAGAATCTAGCTCTTCTGCCCACTTGAAAAGGGTATACTGAAACGTTTCCTGAGAAGAAACACAAATCACTAAAGCAGTGATGCATACATAAAAAGAGAATTGAAGACTCTAGAAACAAAAGGAGATAACCATGAAATCAGGCCTATGATGTAAATGGACAACTGCATACAAATTTTTAAAAAATGTTCCCAAAAAAAGAGAAGTTCTTTCTGGTCCTCACCAGCGGACCATGTGGTATGTGGTTTTGTGGTCCTTAAACCTTAAACCACACAAAGTACAACACTGCAGAAACATACTGAAAGCTTATAAATACGTACTGCACTACGCAGAGTGCAAACAAGGACTAGCAGAGCCTCGTTTTGGGGTCTACTCAACACAAGGAGGAAACCGGACAATTTCCCAGGCAGATCCTGGGGCCAGCTGCCATTTTCACAGGCTGAATGCAGCGGGCGTCTCCCCCCACCTTGCCTCTGATTGGCCAAGGGGCCCCAGTAGTCCCATCCTTCCCCACTGATTTCCCCATGGCCCTAAACCATGGCTTAATTACCCTGATTAAGCCCAGGGAAACCATTAATCCATGCATCATTAAGTATGGATTAATGGCTGCTCTGGGCTTAATCAGTGTAATTAAGCCAGTTTGGGGCCATTCCCAAGAGGTATGCTCCATGCCAAAAATTACCAGCAAGCAGAGAAAAGGGCGGGAAGCCCTACAGTCTTGGAGCATAGATAAAGGGCAGGCTGCTGGCAGCAGGAGGCACAGAGACTGCAGACGGCTGCATTGAGGTGCTGTAGCCAGGAGGCTGCACCAGGGTCCGTAGAGCCTGAACTGGCTGCATGTGCACAATGAACTGGCCTGAGACCACAGGAAAGCTGTCTGCAGCCTCTGTACCTCCTACTACTAGTTTTCTCTACTTGCTCATAATTTCATTTCTTTTCCCCAGCAACCCTGCCAAAAACGTGGAGCCCACTGCTTTTCATAGAGTTTGCCTGATTTTGAGTTTCCACAAAAACTGTGTAATCACAAATTTGGTAGGTCCCTACTCATTTCAATTCACTAACAACTTTTAAAAGGAAGATGAAAAAAGGTAAGTCCTAAATAAGTCAATTATCAATCTTCTCAGCCATGTAAACCATTATTAAAAGTATTGAATGGACAACACTGCCCTTTTATTCCTTAGCTTTCTTCCATTACGCAAAATAAGTTAAAACCATATGATCGCAGTAAAACGTGTTCATTAAAAGCTCCTTAAGAATGAAAAAAAATACAAACTAAGATTGTTTCTTAAATTATTTTAAACAGTTCATTTACCTTGACATCATTTTTTAGTTCAGGAGCAAGATTCAGTACCAGGAGATAATGAGCATAAGCAGTTCCAAAATCCTGTTCTTCCAGACAATGCTGAGCACTCTGAAAAGATCTAGACACCAGCTCTCGTCTGCTGGCTTCCCGGCCACTTCTGAGGCCTCGATGTGATCTGGCTCTAGAATTGAGCATTTTGATCCTAGTGAAATGTGAAGCTCTTAAGAAAGAAAAAAAAAAAATTACTGTTATTCTACAATGAGAAGTCTGTGTATAGAAGTGACAGGTCAAACTATTCTACATTTCTACCATGTACTGGTAAGGCAACCAAACCTGCAAAAACTTGCAGACATGCTTAGCTTTGAGCTCTGTGAATAGTTCCATTGACTGTAATGACCTCTTGTAGCCAATATAGCTAATGGCACATGAAAAATCTTCAAAGGCATAATTCAAAGGTTCATATGTAACCATACATATATGGTTTATTTGTTTACCCCAGCTCAGAAAAGCATATAGTCCACCTCTAAAATAAACAACTGGTAATTAGGTGTGCACTGATAGAGAATTTTTGAGCCAATACCAGTGGCAGATTTTTAATGAGCCATATGAGCTGACAGTGATCCAATTTTGATATGCAGCCAGGCAACACAGAGTGGCGTCCGGCTGGTA